AATTCGGGACTGTGGCTTGAAGATGGGTTATCATAAGGCTTAGGGCCTTTGGAAGAGAGAGATCTAGACCCATTTAGGTGCGGACGATGTATTGGAGGTAATCCGGGAGTTGGGTGGTGCATTGGAGCCAAGGGGCATATCGGTAAAGTGGCAGTTCGAGCTCTTTATGAATTTTTGATTTTCATTCGGAATGTTTTGAGGTGAGGATAAGTTGATAGATGCGTAGAGCTTCTTGCCACCTTTCCGTGGATATAAAGAACGTCAAAACAGAGTTGAAACGAAGAAGTTATGGTCGTTTGAAGTTGGACTGGTCAGGGTGAGTGATCGTTGACTTGTTGACCAAGTTCATTTAAGGCTCACGACGTGAGAATTAAGGGCTCACGACGTGAGACACACCTGAAGCACCAAAACCCTTATTTTCGGGTATTTAAAGGTATGAGATGATTAGGGTTGCTTCTCCTCAGCCTCCTTCACTCCCAAATCACTGAAAACCCCTAATTTCGGCCTTCTTGAGCCCTTGAGCCATTGGTGGTGGTGTTGGAGTGTTATAGTGGTTGATATCTTTGAAGAAGAAGAAGAAGAAGAAGCTCTTGGGAAGTTCCTTTTGGCAAGATAAGCTCCTCCTAATGACACTTTTGAGCTCATAAGCTTCTGTAAGTCTCAAAGATCCCACCTTTCTCCTTCAATCTTGCTAGATCTAGGTTGTGTTGACCTTCTTTGCATGGGATCTTGGAGTATCATGCATGGGGTCCATAAAGTTAGAAACTTTGTGGACCATTGAGTCATTTGCTATGCTAGAACCCCTAGATATGGATTTTGGTGCAACTTATGGGCTTCAAGTTTGAATCTTGATGTTTATACCCATCTTTTGACCTAACTAGTATTTAAGTCATGTATTGGACATAGATGACTAAAAAGCTTCGATTTTTATGGTCCTTGAGGTCAAGGAAGACCCCCTAGACTGTCCCATGTTATGGCTTAAAGGATTAAGAGCTTAATGCTCATTTTTGGTCAGAACTGGACTCACGACGTGAGGAATGAAGCCTCACGATGTGAGTATGTATTCGAGGAAGTTCCTGGACTGAAAAACACGACCTCACGGCGTGAGCATGAAGAGCTCACGACGTGAGCATGAAGAGCTCACGACGTGAGCAGCCCCTGTGCAAGTTTTGGACTCTTTGATGATGGGCTAGCTTGGTTTTGGCCTTGTCTTTTGGTTTGGTCTCTTAATGGGCTAAGGACTTGAGAGTAATGGACTTCTGGTTGGGCTTGCCTTGCTAGGCTTTCCCTAATGGGCCTTGGATGATTGGGCCTTAGTGGGCCCAATGTAGTTAGGTCTTGATTGGGCCCAATGGACTTGGACCTTTGGACCATCGGTAAGTCATTGGTTTAGAAAAGTAAATGGGATTTAGGAAAAGGCCCATGTAAGGGTTTGGGCCCAATTTGGAAAATTGGGCCATTGATGGACTTTATTGGACTTTATGGTTTTGGGCTTCAGGCATGGACCAATTAGATCAAGGGTAAAATGGTCATTTTACCCTAAGAAGGATTTCTGAGTTTGGACTAAGTGATGTTTTGGTACTGATAGCTCGGGGAGCCGAAGGAGTAGCAGTTCGGGGAATTGCCAGTTATCAGCCAGAGGAGTATCAGTAGGGCTTCAGCAGTGCAAGGTGAGTCTCCTCACTGTTTGTATGGGTCTACGGCCACAACGTCGGCCCATTTAGTTTATGTATGGTAGGAAGACCCGGGGGTTAGCCTTAGGCACTATGTATGAAAGACCAGGGGGTGGCTCCTGGAACACTGTATGCTCATTAGCTAAGTAGAGTAGTATGTATGCTAGTTGTCTTTGTGATACTTGCATGGAAGACCAGGAGGCGGCTCTAGGCACTTGTCTGTAAGACCCATGGGGTGGCCCCCGGCTTGGCAAGAAAGACCACGTGGTGGCCCGTGTCATAACAACTAGACTATGTGCGGCACATAGCACCTTATTTGATATATGATTGAGATGTATGGCTCATAGTATGTATGGCATGTATGGCCCAGTTGATATGTATGGTATGTGGTATTTGGGGAACTCACTAAGATTCGTGCTTACGGTTTACATTTTTGGTTTCAGGTACCTTCAGTTTTCAGAAAAGGAGCTCAGGACGATCGCAGCACATTCACCCATATTATTCCGCATTATGTGATCTTTGGGATTAGACTCTGATGTTTATTTTAAATGAAACGTTTTCAATGTTCAGAACGAAGTTGCTAAGTGTTTTTCTTATATTAAAAACAAAATTTTTATCCTTGAATTTTGGGATGTTACACCCGCCCAAATTGTATAACGGGCCCTGCCCAAATAATCGGGCCCCGCCCATATAGAACATACATAATCGGGCCCCGCCCATATAATCGGGCCCCACCCATATGAAACATAAAAACACATGAAAGAGTCACAAAGACAGCTAGCATCCTACAAACATAATCTAATAGGTCGGCATTGGTGCCTTCGACCCACGAGTACAGTGAAGAGACTCACCTCAATCGATAAACAGATAAAACACACACACGAACTGTTGGTGCTAAAGTCTCTCCTACTAAACATATCCAAAATCTTAACCCTAATTAGCAAGGTAATATCCCAACTTAGCAAGTCCAAAAACCAATACTAATCCCCATTTGGGCAAAAGACCATTTTGCCCTTCTAAGTCCACAACCCTTACAGTTGACCAAAAGTCAAAGTCGTAAAAAAAATTCAGCGGTCAAACTTCCATTGACCTACGCATGGCGTACGATTAGCTCTACGTGCTGCGTAGAGTCTTAGACGTAAGAGTCAGGGATCAAGCAGGCTACGTTGGGCGTAGCCTAATTTACGCCCTACGTACTATGTAGTTAAGCCAATTCCATTTTAGCTCTTAATCCATACATACCAACCATCTATTGCTTAGACCTGATCCTAATAAACATCTTAAGTGATAAAGTCGATGACTTTATGCCTATGCATGGCTAGATGGAGCTCAAAATCAAACCCTAGTCCCATAACATTCACAAAAGACCAAAAACCCTAACATGGGTGAATGAGGACAACCAAGATCTCATTTTTATGCCTCCTCAACCTTAGAAACAACAAGAAATGACAACTACAATGTCTGGAGTAGCTCATACTCATAAGACTCAAGATTATGGGACAAAAGAACATGAAAATCAAGAATCTAATGAGATCTAACACATGGACCAGCAAGAATCAAACTTTATACCTTCTGGAGCTAAGAAATGTAATGTAGGCTCTGGATCTACAAGCTTAAGCTTCAACAAGCTACAAGCTTGTACTTCTCCTTCCTCAAAATGCACCAAAAACACACAAAAGGTTCAAGATTTGCTTTAGAGGATTAGGGTTTCGAGTTAGATGCTTAAGAGGGTGGAGGCTGATGGTAAGAAGGGCCTCAAGGTTTAAGGTCCTTAAATAGGGCTCAAAACCCCCCCGGAAATTAGGGTTTGCACCCTGCACAGTTACGCCATGCATAACTGGCCATCTACGCCCCACGTAGAGCCATAATTTCCAAAATAATAAGCTAAAATATTATAAGGAAATGTACCTGAGAAACGGGCGTTACAAACATATTGTAAGGCACCGAAGATTTGTCGATATTTTCTTGGGCCATCAATAAAGTACCTCACCAATGACATAAGCAAAGGAGTATGTTAGCTTCTAAGATACTTGCACCACAACTAATCAACATATACTCTTGTTGAGAGAATTATGTCGAACCCTCGAGGATAACCTTAATACCAAGAAAGTGATATAGGATTGTAGGGTACCCAAGTCTTTTAATGAAAATTTTAACCATATGGTGGAAATAATCCAATCAATATGTAACATTCATTATCATTATAATTTCGTCCACGTAAACGAGGGCATAGATAAAAAAAAACCCTCGAGTAAACAAAGCCAACAAAGAGATGGACAATGAAATCAATCTTGGATCCTACAAAGATGCTATAAAGATGCATGTAACTAAAGCATGAGATGTGTGAAATCAAGCATGTAACTAAAGATGTATGTAACTAAAGCATGAGATGGATCCTATAAAAGGGATGTAGCTAAAGCATGAGATGGACAGTGAAATCGAGTATGTAACTATAAAGATGCATAACACTAAATCCTCTCGAGACAGATCAGTCTTGGATCCTATAAAGATGCATGTAACTAAAACATGAGATGGACAATGAAATCAAGCATGGGTTTGTTTGAGGCCATAAAGAGTGTGCTTAAAGCGATACACGTGATATGATGTGTAGAATCAGCACGGTTGAGATATGTAGATCTTCTTTATAGGACTCACACAAATGAATGCATTTTGAACATCAAATCAACGTAATGACAACTTGAGATGGATGGTGAAACCAAGCACACAACATGTTAAAAAGTGGCGACACGTGTGATATGGATGTGTAAGATCAACAAAACCAAGAGATTCGTCTTAGCAAAATCCCCATAAACGAAGGCATTATGAACATCATGTTGGCGTAATAACCAACCTTGAGATACAAGGGAGAAAACAATCCAAATCATGGTAGATTAGATTTGACAACAGGAATAAATGTCTCCTCAAATTCAATACCCGGTTGTTGGAGAAATCCTTTGGCACCAAGACATGCTTTGTAGCACTCGATGGTGTCTTCGGTCTTCTGCTAAAGTTGGTACACAGATTTGCACCCAATATTTTAATCATATAAAAGGGAACAAGAGTCTACATTTCATTCTAAACTAATGTCGACTACTTCTTATTCATAGCCACTCAAATGACATGGAAATAGAGAAACAAATTGAAAGACTCGAGATGGCATTCAATTAATAAGAAAAGTGACCATATCAAATTCATAATGCTAGTAATAATAACAAGGGGCGCAGACTAGTTAGTTGATGAACAGTAAAACCAGTTTCTAGCTTGATGGTATCATGGAAACTTTCATATCTATAAATCTTTTGAAATAAAACATAATATGTTACTTACATTTGTTGTATATATATGAACCAAAATCACTCAACAGCCACTCTATTTACACAACACCATATTAGAAACCCGAACAGACTCCCTGCACTTGCAGATGATATGATTGGAGGTGAAGATGACAAATACAATGATCTCTCTCTACAATGACATGGTGGAAATTACCATAACGCCCATGGTCAAAACTCAAAACTTCTCATATTCCCTTTACACTGGAGTCAAACTTAGCCGCAAAAGCTAAAGTCGACTCAAGTGTTCTCCGTGATGTACTTGACAAAAATGGCAGCACAGGCATCGGTTTTCGAGCTGGAGGCTCTGAATTTGTCCTTATCTTGTCACTGTTGTCAATTTGTGTGACAACTTTAACACCATCATCCACATTTACAATTATACCCTCCGGCTTGCTCAACGGAGACTTCCCAATCTTGAAAGAAAACCCATCGTCGGAATGTTTTTTACCAAACGACAAAAAGTTTATCCCCCGGGGAATTTCCGGGGGCGTTTTGGTCATTTCACCCTCGGAATTTACCTTAGGAGACGATTGGGCTTCTAGTGGTAACTTTTCTTGCGATAAAAAGCTTATCCCTTTCGGTGGTTGAGGAGACGATTTTGGTTTTGTGTCGATTTTTTCACGTGAAATAAAAGTTACACCTTTTGGTGGTTGAATTTGAACAGATGGTTTTGGTGAAGAAGCTGTATGATTGTTAATTTGTAATTTGGAACTCAGCTTTTGTTCAGAAGTTGACTCGTTTAAGGGGTTTAAGGAGGCTTCACTTGGTTGTGCCTAGTTAACACAAAAGTAAAAGGATTTTGTTGATTTATTTTATATGATGAAAAAGAAAATGGAAAAAAAAAAAATACCTCGTGAGAGAACATACAGTCTGAACCACGTGGGCAGAAGCCTTTTGAAAGATAGTTATTGCAGGGATACTTTGAGAGTTGATGATCAAATGGACACTCATCACCTTTCATACAAGAATGGCGTGCAAAATGACAACATGGCTGCAACATTTAAAAAAAAATCACATTCATCTATAACTTTAACAATATTATGATTGGTTTATTATAAAATATAAAATATAAAATATAAAATCCTGTACCTTGGATTTTGTCAAGGGGGTTGTATCATGAGAAAATTTACAATTCTCACCCTGTCATAAATCAAAGGATATGTATATATTGTGTTAGATGTCAGAATAATAAGTTTAGATTCTAAAAGTGAAATGAAAGTAAAAGATTATACCTCATGGCATCTTCCATTTATATAATGACGACAATATATAATTTTCTTCTCTTTTATCACTGGTTGAAGTTTCAGCCTTTTGACACCAAGCTTCCTGTTCTTTTCTGCACGTTTGATTTTTTCTTTTCGCTGAAAAACATGATTATGAATTTTATGATGAAAAACTTAATTTGGAATATTTAAAAGTAACCCTACTCCATTTTCACAAGCATCAAACATGTAATTGATGCATATAGAAAGTGTGGTAAACAAAAACAATGTGATATATTAAGTTCATATGTAAATACTAAATAGTATTTTAACAAAGATCATCAAAGTAAATAAAAGGTAACCTTTTTCTTTGCTTTTCTTTCTGCAGTCAAAACCCGCTTCTCTTTTCTTCTTAGTATCAGCATCCTGTTATAAAAGAAAACATCATCTACTAAGCCAACAATAATCAATTGTAAATAAGAACATAAAAAAACAATATGTGATGATTCAAGAACTTATGAGAACTGAAAAGATGATATTTTTTAAAGAAAGTCAATACCTATTTTACTAAAAGATTATCTTTTTTTTAAGAAAGTTAGTACCTTGTTAGCAGAAGCATCCTCAGGGTTTTCACCAGTTTTTGTTAAACCTTCCGGACATGTTGACTGGTCAACAGACTTTTTTGCCTTTTTGTTTGTTCCTTTTTCATCATTGCAAGATCTCTGTCTCTTTTTATTATTTTGGGCACCCTTATCCTGTCATACATTGGAAAAAAAATATGATAATAACTTTTCTGTTTGTTCTTAAGTAAAAAGAATAGTAAATAAAGTAAAACCATTAAACAAACTCAAACCTTAATTGGGAATCCAAAATCTTGATTCTTGGTTGCATTATTTATTAAGTTATTTGCAGACACTGTGGATTTTCCATGAAGAGCTATTTCAGAATAATCCACCAAATTTCTTTTGGTTTTACTTATTACAACTGTCGTATCTTTACCAATATCATCAGCTTTGTTAATAGATAAGGGGGTCAAAGTCAAACTGTTATTTTTCTCAAATCCTGAATTGATACCAGTGAAATCTTCATGTTCTTCTGACCCTGTTTTGTCCACAGATTCCACATCATTATCTTCAGGAACCAAATTTGTAAACTCTCCTGAAATTTCTCCTTCTTCAACATCTTTATTTGTGTCTAAATGAGGAGAAGAAAGATCCAAACTTTCTTCTGATATGTTATGATCTTGTTCAACAGGTTCCACATGTAAATTAGTATTACATAAACTTTCTTCTTGGGTACCTAAAATCACTCTGGTTTCAGCTACATTTGTTTCTTCTTGATGTTCTGAATCATTTGATATGATATTGGTGCAAGTGAAGAGAACATCATCTTTTGTGACTGATTCTATATGAGTGTCATCCTTATCTACATGAAAAAATTAGGTCAGAATGACAAGAGATTAGCTTTCATTAACCATTGCACTTCAATGACAAATTTAAGATTTTTGACTAAGTTTACAAATTTCTGGTTTTTGATTTATTTTACACACTACAAAACAGTGCAAAAGTTTTTCAATGTATGCAATCCACCCTAGGCACATGATCAAATTACATATGATTATCACCAATGAATCCAAGATTCTTTTCAGACAGGTAGATTTAAAGATTCTTTCTATGGGCCAATTGAAATCCTAGAAGCAATGTAATTTTGACTCAAAGTATCTCCATTTGCTTTATTCCACATCAATTACATATGATCAGTAACAGGGGTACATTCCCTCCACCAGAAAAACTTCAACAAATTGATCATAAATCGTTTTGGGGGCGAATTACCATAGGGGGCGCAACCTGCTAACCCTCCCTAGCTCCGGCACCCCAATGATCATGAAATTGAAGATAGTTTCCATGAAAAGAAGGTCATTGGCACAGCCTTTTTACACTACACCTATTTGCAACTACAGTTACACTTAATAGTCGCCACTGGCTTAAACCCTCCACTAAACCTCTACACAAAGAAAACCCTAGAAATCCAGACTGGTACTATATATGTTAAAAAGGCTCATTGACGTTACAGAAAGAATCTATTTACGCACAGAAATACAAGTATATACCTGAATTTTGAGTGATATGAGAAGAATCGGCATAGCAAACGGACAGGATATGAAGAAGTGTATCGACAGTCCGGCTCCTGAGCGGCCTTCTTCGGCGGTTACCCGTTGAGGGGTTCGTTGGCCAAATCGGAATTTTCTCTAGGGTTCCGATTTCTGACCCTTCCATTGGCGGCATTGTCACCGTCGCAATGAGTTCTGAAGCAGGATCTATATAAACGCCGCCTCCTCGCCGGCGAAATTTCTAAAATTTCACTTTTATCCCTTCTCTTCTGTTTAGAAGGGATAATGACTTATGAGAGGGCGAACGTTTTTTTCTTCGGCATTTACCCCCTTCAACTTGTTAAACTTTATACATTCGGTCATTATGATTGTCTATTTCAGGTTAACCGGTAAAAATGACTTAATAGGGTAATATATTTTTTACTTTGTACACATTTAGTCCTTAATAATTTTGTACACATTTAATCCTTAATAATTTCTTTTGCAAAATAAGTCATTTTTGTTTTTATACTCATTCAGTACTTATGAATGATTTCTTTACGTTTTTCTCACGAAATCTTACATGGGACATTCATTAATGAGTTGTTTTGGCCATTTGATGTTTATGTTAATCATGATCTTAACTACTTGGTTGATCAGATCATGTGTTCTGAACGTCATAACTTCTTCATACGATCTCGGATTTTAACGATCTTTATATCCATGCGAACGATCTTTATATCTATGCGTTCGTATTTTAGTCTACTACAACTTTCATTTAGATTACTCTCATTAAAAAAATAATATATTTTTACTTACGATTTTTATATCCAAACGCAGGGGCGGATTTAGCCTGACCCCAGTGTTGCACCGGCAACACCTGTTTTTTTTTTCTGGCTGCAGTGGAAAAAATTTCGATTTTTTATTCGTTTATACCTATTTTCATGTATCAGCAACGTCTATTTCATGTCGGCAACACCTACTATGTATTCCTGCGTCTGTCCCTGTCCATACGTTTTTTATAAATGCATGTATGGATGTTTTTTTATAAAATCATAAGTAAAAACATATTACATTTTAACGTGAATAATCTTATAGAAAGAATGAACACGTGGATATAAAGATCGTTAAAATGTAACACCCCGTTTAATAAATAAATAAATAGATAAAAATTTATATGAATTGTGGCCCTAAAATCTATAATATTTAGTGGGGTGTTGGTCTCGAGGAGCTAATTGTCAGAATTTTAGAGATTGTGGTTAAAAGTGTAAAATCCGGATTCAGATTGTAAATATTTATGAAGATAGGGGCTCCGTGGTAATTATTAGAACTTAAGATGAAAAGAATGAGAGGAGGAGAGACTAAAAATGTTAACGTGGCTGAAGTTTGATCATTGGACCTAAATTGAAATGAATTTAGAATGCTGAGGGATCAAGAGTAAATGTTGGACCTAATTGGAAAAGGATTTGTAGAGGGAGGGGTTGTTATGTAAATTTCGGATTGGATTTGAAAGGGAATTCCTAGGTCAGGGTAGAAAGGGTAAATTATGGCCTTGGTTTGAAAGAAAAAGAGAAAGGGAGGGCTGATCTTGGCATTATGGCGAAAAGTTTAAGGAGTGTCGGGTATATAGCCTGCGATAAACCCTAACCTTAGGAGTGTATCAGCCGCCACTGTTTAGCCGAGTTGCACCACCATTGAAGACGAAGAGCCACGCACGACGTTGAATCAACGGGTCGTCGGTCGTATAGTCGTTGTTGCCGTCGTGGATCAGCCTTCCCCTCCGTTCGACGGTGCTACTTCGACCTTCTTACGCCTTAGTCTGGACCAACAGTCGCCGACGTCCATGCCGCCCTCCAGCGGTATCGCTGTTTGGTGGTGACGACTAGGACCACCACCAGGCCCTGTTCTCCTGTTGAAATTGTCGTCGTTCGAGGTCACCGTTCCTACAGTCGTTGGCGCCGCCACCAGTTTTCGTTGAAGGCAAGTCGTCACCGGTTCGTGTGTTTTCCGCTCGCGTTGTTGTCGTGTTTGCTGGGATGTGAACCAAAAGGAAACGATGCCACCACCGTGAGGTGGTGGCTGTCATCACAAAAACTACCATTAGCTGCTTCTGTTGCCGCCATCTAGTGCCATCACCGCCGCCGTGCGCCACCAGGTGGGTGGCTGGGTCCATCTTGTAAATTGAAGTGTGTGTGTTTTGTCTAGCCGGAAAACCAAGAGAGCCACTGCCACCACCTACCACCACCGGCCACCACAAGGGTGGTTGTGTGTGTGTGTGTGATTATTTGGAGTAAGTGTGTTTATTTTGGGTTATTTCATTGTAAAATTGTAATATTTGCTAGAATAATGAAAAGAAAACTCTTAACCACCACCGTAGGGTGGTGGCCGCCGTGTCGGGTGGCGGTGTGCTTTGCATGTGTTTGGATTACTTTTGGGATACTTGAACTCGATTGGACTAGAACCCTAACCACCACCGTGAGGTGGTGGCTGCCGCTGTAAGCCGCCGTTGACCACCACTACCCGAGGTGGTAGTGGGTGGTGCCCGACTAGTGAAACCCTAGTGGGCCTAATAAACCCTAATTGATCAAAATACCTAGCTATTGGGCCTATTCGGCTATGATTGGGTTGAAAACCCTAATTAGGGTTTAGAAAACCCTAATTTTGGATATATGGGCCTTGGACTTATCGGGACCCATATTGGAATGAAATTGTGAATTACACCCAATCACACCATATGACTTATCTAGTAGAGTAATGGACTTAATGGATTAAGTCCTTAATGGGTTAAGTGGGAAACACTTAACCCTAATTGTCATTTTATGTGAAACCCTAATTTCACTTTGGCCTGGAGCTGGGCCTTTCCATTGGGCTTTGGTGATTGGGCTAATAATGGGCCATTCAGTAACAACTTTATGGATTAGAATAATTTAATGGGCTTTAGGGTAAGGCCCATGAGAAGGTTTGGGCCCAATTTGGAAAATTAGGCCATAGATGAGCCATAATTGGGCCTTATGATTATCAGATATTGGGCCATTGGAAATGCCAAATGTTTGGACTGGACTAAATGGATGGGCCTTAGAATAAGACCATGTAAAGGTTTGGGCCCAATTTGGAAAATTGGGCCATATGTTGGGCTTTGACTCATAGTTGACTTTTGGGCCTTTGGATTGGGCCTTGGGCTTGAATAAAGCTAAGTTAGGGGTAAAGTAGTATTTACCCCAAGTATGTTCTTATGGTTATGTGTTGGAACCCAATTATTAATTGGGTGTCATTTTGATGTTGACAAATAGGGAATCTGACATCCAGTAGCTGGGGTTGTGTCTGCGGGACTTCATCAGTATGAGGTGAGTTACCTTCCAGTAGAGGTGGGTCTAAGGCACCAAATTCGGCCCACCAGCAGGTGATTGTGTATGAGATGATTGTCTTTGTGATAATTGTCTGGTTTGTAACTATCTGATATGTTCTATGTGTTAGGATGCTCTAATATATGTGTTAGTAGTAGTAGGGGTGAAATAGTCCCCAGATACCGGTTGAAAGATATCGAAGGGGTGGTCAGTACCCATGCATGCCTAGCAGTATGTTCATGATATGATGTTATGTGATAGTGGTAGTAAGGGGAATAGTCCCAATACCTGGTCGATAGGGCCAAGGGGTAGGCCAGACACGCCGGTATGTCTGACAGTATGATTATGTTATGTTTCTATGTGGTAGTAGTAGGGGTGAAATAGTCCCCGTAACCGGTTGAGATAAACCGGAGGGGTAGGTCGGACACCCCAGTATGTCTGACAGGGGTAGGTTAGGCACCCCGATATGCCTAGCAGGGGTAGGTTGAGCACCCCAGTATACTCCACAGGGTAGGTCGGGCACCCAGATATGCCTAGCATGGGGTAGGTCGGGCACCCCGGTATGCCTGACAGTATGTGATTCTATGGTATGTGGTATGATGGGGGGAACTCACTAAGCTTCGTGCTTACAGTTTTCAGTTTTGGTTTCAGGTACTTCGTTTTCAAAGGAAAGGAGTTGGCTCGATCGCAACGCATCACACTATGTTTTCCGCACATGAGATCCTTGGGATTATACTCTGATATTGTTTTATGATGACATGTTTTGATTATTGACGTATTGGTTTTGACATGATATGTTGTTATGGATGTTTTCTTATACTGTTGGTTTTATAATAACTTATTTAAAAATGAAATTTTTGGCCTTGAATTTTGGGATGTTACATAAAATCTGATATCGTATAAAGAAGTTACGACGTTTAGAATACAAGACCTAAGGCAAACCACGAGACCTACGCAACCAAGCAGTCGAGATTGCGTTGGACATAAGCATCTGATGGGTTTTGCGCACTACAACATTCCTATGGTGTACATGCAAACCCTAAAGCTTTGGATCTAGTTTGTCTAATGAACATGCAATAATCATCCAAAGCCATAAACCCTAGATCTAGCATGTGATAATCGATATTAACATAAGAATAGGGTTTAGATCTTACCTTGATTGTTATGTAGCAATAACAATCTCAATTCCTTCTTGTAATTGGATTCTGAAAGCTTAGTGTCACAAGTGTCACACCTCTAATGGAGTCACAAACACCATAAGCAATAAGGATGAAGAAGGAGGAGAAAGAAGACACCAAAAACGTCTAGAAACCCAAAGGAATCAGTTGGCCACGTTTTTGGTGCCCTAGGGGTCCTTAAATAGTGAGGCTATTAGGGTTATCTAACAAGGAAACCCTAATTTGACTGCTTAGGCCCTAAGCAGCCCATGGACTCTTCCTTTAGAGGCCTTGGACGAATTCTAATAAGTTTCCCGATAGATTTCATCCACTCCATCCTCTATGGAGTCCATTAGCCCAATATCCAACTATCACACAATTGACAGTTCTAGTCCCCTTTATTTAATTAATGTCTTTTAGTCACAAAATTAATTCTGATTAATTCTTGACTAATATTAATTAAACAATATGATTTCTCCTTTAATATATTATTCATATAATATATTAATAAATCATAATTAATCTCTTTCTCCACAAATCATCCTATCAAGTTGCTTTGGTGAAGGCAACCCAAAAGGACCATGCTCGTAATCGAGTCAAGTACATACCAAAATAGTTATGGGCTTAGACACTAATCCAACAGTCTCCCAATTGGATAAGTTGAATAACTATTCTGCGTATGACTTCAGATCCTGATCAGCAATCGTAGCTTTCAAAAGCCGCTGTCAACTCTGATCTTATCAGATACGCGTCCTTTAGATAAGGGATCATATATTCCTTCATTCTAGATATCGTATAGACGTGAGACATGGATTGAAATCA